CTATGAATTTTCTATGACTTGATGGCACTTAACAACAATGACAACAACAACAGCTTCTCTATGAAGTCTCTGTGAATTTGCTTATTCTGGACATTCCATACTAATGTAATTTATACAATATATAGTACTTTGTGTTTGGTTCCTTAGACTCAGCATAATATTTTTTAAGGTTCAACTATATGGCAGCATCTGCTAGTACTTCATTCTTTTTTTATGGTAAAAAATATTCCATAAGGAGTTTGTGACTTTGAAAAAGGATAAATACTCTTGGCTGTCAACCAAAAGGTTAGAAGTTAGAGTTCACCTGCATAAAAAGAGGTTTGGAAATTGTAAAAGGAGCAATACTAACAGGGTCAACGTGGGAAGACTGAGACAGACTTCCACTATCTCCACAAAGGGGCACTGTCTCCATCAATAACATCCAGTATATAAAATTGAACCCTTGGTATGACATAGTCTCCCAACACTGCTGCACTTACTTCCATTAATCCCCAGGCCTGGTATCTGTTGCAAAAGTTGTGGGCTTTATCAAGGAAACAGGTTGTGGGGGGGTAAGGGAAAGCAAAAGACAGTACAGTTAAAGTTCCCAAGGTTAGTCTAGCACCCAAATGCAAGAAGCTTCTGGCTGTTCTTAATTTTCCAGCAGGCCTCTTCTCATAGCAGTCCCAAGTCAGTGCTTCCTTCAATAGCCCAGAAGCAAAACCTTTAACTCTGGCTCCATCTCGAGGGATGGCATCTAACAACACAAAACCGAACTGAACCCAATTTTACTCCCTTGATTGAATAAAATAAGACAGCCAATAAAATTTAATCCAATTTTTTAAAAAAACGAAGCAGGAGTGTCACCCACTTCCGAAATAGCTTGCCTCTGGAAACTTTGTGAACCTGGAGAAACAATGAAAGTTCTACCAAGTGTTCAGGTCTTTTGTTCACAGGGTTGCTCTGAGTGTACAACTCGACAGCACTTAACAACCACCACCACCACCACAACAACCTTAATTTGCCCTTGACAACTTAGCATGGGAAAGAGTAACAAATTTTCTAATGTACACTATTATTATGCATGTCTGGTGTTGTGTTGTTTTTTTTGTTTTGTTTTTAAATATCATCAGTTCATTTGGATTGTTTTGCCCCCCCCCCAAATACGTTGTTATAAATCCTAACCACTATTCCTGCAATATAATCCCATTTGGGAATGCATTATCTTTGTTACATTAATGAGCCAGGATTAGAACAAGGTGGGTTTTTAACTGAACCCTTAAAATATAAAGAGGATTAAACAAGCAAGTGAAAGCAGCAGAGAAGGGGAAAGACAGATGCCAAGCTCCCTGGAGATCTCCCGGGAACCAAGAAAGAAGCTGAAGACACAGGGCTTTTCCCCAGAATCTACTCGGATAGAATACCTTTGCCCCCCAGCATGCTGGCTTCTAGTCTTCCAAACAGTGAGAAAATAACCTCCTGTTAAAGTCACTCACTTAGGTATTTCCGTTGTATCAGTATTAGATAACCAAGACACAGTCTTTCATTTTATTACATGGAAATATTTTATTTGGTACTAAATTGACACTTGACTTGAAAAGATGCCAAAGTTATTAAGTTGCTTATTAGATGGAGCAAAAGCATTTAATAAATTCAAGGAAAGTAATAGATCAAATTGTGTTATATTATTTTTCTACAGAAGTTCCATGTAATTCTTTCTCATTTTAAAAATAATTTCACCTGTCAATTTAAATTTGGCTTTCCATGAGCAGCATGTATGAGATACTTAAAAAAGAAAACCACCATTCCAGACAACAATTTTGTCTTCAAGGAAACAAGTGTGAGGAAAAGCACAATATGCAAAATACATAAGTAAAACAGCACAATGTTAGAGTGATGAACCCAATCTTAAACAGGATAATCTCATTTGGAAAGGTCACTTCTGAACAAGATATTAAATGAGGTGAAAGAGCAAAATACATGAATATGGAAAAAGGAGTTTCAGGCAGAGGGTATAGAATGTGGCAAGGCCCAGAGGTGAGATAAAACCCAGCATGTTCACAACAAACAGAAAGGGAGCCAGTAGGGCTGGAACAAAGGGAGGGAGAAGGCAGTCATTAGAAAAGATCAGAAAAGTAAGGGAAGTTGAGCCTTGCTCTCTATCAGTAAAGACCTTGGCTGTACTCTGAGTGAGCTGGGACACTATTGGAGGCCTTAGAGCAGAGGGATGCTGTAACACAACAATGAAACAAGATCATGCTGTATTCAGGCTAGACTGTAAGAGGGCAGACAATACTGAAATTGGCGGATACGGAGTGGAAGTGAAGTCAAGAGATGACAGTGGTTTGGGCAGAGGTGCAAGTAGAGGAGGTGAAAAGGAGTCAACCTGGGTATGGGAAGATGAGAGGAGACTAAGATGGTATAAACAACTAAGATGGAATGGCTATTAACTTTTTACAGGAAAAGTGCAGGATGGGCAAGTTTAATAGTGGAGTGGATGATTATGGATTTGGACATATTAACTGTGAAATGCCTTTTATCCACCTACAGTTGCTAGGTGGAAAATCTAAACCCATTGTTGCCAAGTTAGATCTGACTCATGTCTGACCTTTCACTGGGTTTCCAAGACTGTAAACAGCATGGAAGATGTGTATCCATCTTCCCCTTGAGAAGTCACTGGTGGATTTGAATCACCAAAGAAGTACGACTTTTGGATTAGCAGGACAGTTGCCTCCAGAGTACACCACCAGAGCTCCCTGATAGAAAACTGGATGGGGATGGGACACACACACACACACACACACACACACACACACACTCACTCACTCCTCCCTCACACACACTCACTCACTCCTCCCTCTGCCCCAGAATAGAATTTCAGGATAGAGGTCTGAACTTGAAATACAAATTTTGGGCTCATGAATATATAAATGGCATTTGAAGATCATCATAGCAGTACATGAACATAGAGAGGGGACCCAAGGTTTGACCAATGAAGTACATCAATATTCAGATGCCAGTGAGAAGAAACAAAACCCGCAGAGAGTACTGGGGAGCAGTCAGTAAAGGATCAAGAAAATCAAGGTTGTTATACACCAGAAATCAAATGAAGAAAATGTATCAAGGAGGAAAAGTTTATCCAAAAGTCATGTGCTAATTATAGATCAAATAAAGGATCAAGAATTGGCCTCTGTATTTAGTAAGCTGAAAAACACTGGGGTCTTGGCAAAAGAGTGTTAAAAGACTGGTAGAGGAGAAATCCTAACTGCAGTAGGGTTAACAGAGGACAGAAGGATGAACTGAAGACACAGAACACAAATATTGTTTCAAAGAGTCTGCTTGGAAAGCTGGGCAGACAAATGGGAAGATGAAGAACTACTACTGTTGAAAAAATCTAGTAGAAAGGAAAAACCAGTAATACAACAAAGGAGAGAATTACTGTAGCTGCAATTAGTGAATGAGAGGGAATGAGGCAGGGCCTAGGGGAAGGAACTGACCATGGATGAGTGGAGGGTCAGTCTTCCACAATAAAGTGGGGAACACATCAAGGTGAGACTAGCAGACATTCATTACATCCTGCTTCTTGGAGAAGACTGAAGCAAAGTCATCAACTGAGATCAAGGTGGGGGCAGAAGTGCAGCAGGTTTGAAGAGAAAGAAAGAGTGACACTGTAATCAAGGAAAACGGGGAGTGAGTGGGCAAATAGGACATGACTGTAGGTAATTAATATGGTGCACTTGAGGTTACCCCAAACCTCCCCAAACATAAAATCTGTTATAAAACTTGAAAGATGTTATTTTTTCTTATATATAATGGTTGTGGTTGTTTTTTACTTTTTTTGTGGTGAAGATTTTTATTTTCTTTTAAAAAAATTTATATTGATATGCATACAAAATTCATATACATTGTGTTCTGTTTATATACATTATGTTTCATCACATAGTTCTCCATTCATATTGTGTTTCACAGGATCATTCCCATACATTGTGGGTTTTGTGTTTTGTGTTTTTTTCTAATCTGTTGCATATTTTTCTAAATAAAATTTTTATTTGATACTGTTTTATCTGTCCCTCCATCCTCCCAAACATGATGATTCCTCTACAAGGACTGGTCCTCCTTGCAATGTGCCCAAAGTATGTCAGAATGTCAGATAAAGCTTAAGAATCCTTGCCTTCAAGGAGCAGCCTGGTTTCACACTTTCCAGAGGAAGACCCTTGATGAGATGGATTGACTCAGTTGTTGGGGTAATGGGGTAGGTGAGTCAGAGATGATACAGTTGG